CAGAAAATGAGATTTTTTTTTTAGTAATTGTCCATTAATTGAATTAATTTTATTTAATCTTTTAAAAGTTTTTACAACAACAAAGTCAAAACCAAGACATTTTTAAAAGAACTGAAATCTAAAAAACCCAAGTATTTTGGGAGACTAGGAAATCTTTTTCTATGTTGGTTTATCACACTGACAATAGAGAGGTCAGTGCTTGGAGCTTAGGTTTGGTCATTATCTGGTGAAGGGTCATAGATAAGAAAAAATCCGAGTGTATTTTGAACTCAACCAAAACACATACCTTGATTTGTGTATTATTAGTAACCTGGAAAAATCATACTGCAAACAAACTCTTCCTTCTCTAACTGTACTGCCTTTTTGTTGAACTGCCTTGTTGAGCCTTTTTTTTTCCTGTCAGCAACTAAACAAGGCATATATTTCTTCTCTATAGAAGCAGTTTGGGGTAGTGCAGTTGTCCCTTCTCATTGTCCTTTCTGTGTTTCTGAAGGGCTGCTTGAACAATTTGTCTGAAATCACACAATAAACTGGTAGCTAATATTTTGTTTCTCAGGGTTGGTAATATTCTTAAGTTGTACAGAAACACAGAACAACAGAGGATTCACATGTATTTTTCCTAGGCATACAGATGACCTAGTGACTGAATTTTGCCTTATGGTGTCCAAAGAATGAGTTACATTACAATTATCTTGATCCAGAAATTGCCTTTAGGAGGAAACGTCATTGTAAAGGATACATTATGCAGATTTATCTATATAACAAGAACAACGGGTTTATAATGTGCACTGGACTCCATTTTTTCTTTTACATGGAAAAAGAATCCCTGAGACAGCAGCAATGCATCTCCGAGCTAACCTGGTATAACTAAAAAGTCCTATTTGATATTCCCATTATATTTTTATCTGGCACTTCTACCTGCTGAAATTCTAGGTAGAGCCTGTAGTTGCAGATATCACTGCAGGTAACAGAGTGAAAAACGTAGCTTTTGTTCACGAACAGAATTTTAGCCTTCCTGTTACTGTAAGGAAACTTTTTTTTTTTGCAAGTGATCACTAATGAGAGCCATGACTTTTGACAGTTCATCTTAGTTTGGTAATTGCAATTCCTCAGGCTATTGATTTCTAAGCATTCAATAAGCAATTTTTAGAGAAAGAATTGTGTGGATTTTGTTCACTCATATATGGAATATTTCTTCTGGCTTTGCAAGTTACAAATAGCAAAGTAATTTTCACTGAAGAACTGGTTATGTTTTTTTTCTTGACTATGTGTTTTGGATATGTGCCCAGTAATATACACTAAATTACATTGAACAGGTTTTGAATAAGTTTGCGTCATCAATCCTGCATAAGTGAAAACTGAAAAAAAAAATTGAAATAACAGCAGGATTTGATATTCCAGTAACAATGAAATGATATGATATTTTCTGATTAAAAAGTTCTTTATTTTTGGCCAGGACCTTCAGTGAAATGAAGGATGTGTTCTGATAGAGTATTTAATATACCTAAGTACTCTGTAAAGTACTTTGCTATATACAGTGATATGAATCTGTTGTTTTCTGCACCTCTATGAATATAATTTCCAGAATGGAAACATTTCTAAACCTAAGCCTCTGGTTACTCAGAGAAATGTAGTATAGTTTCAAATCATATTTCATACTACTTTTTTTTATTTTTTCCTTTGATTTATTCAGGATATGGTTTAACTACTGGTGTTTGTGTTGCTGTTTTCAAATGTTTGCAGCTTAAGTGTGGCAGTTTTACTAACTACTTAACAAGACCGATACAGGTAGCTAAATTTGTATGTAAGGTCCTCTTTTTTTCTTGGCATTTTCTCTGTAACTCTGTAGCGTTACTATAAGATAAAGGTTTTAATTTCTTTATTTTTGTTCAAATCAATGTGCTTTTTCTAGTAAAAGAGGAGCACTGTGGACTCAGATGTTATAGATTCTCTAAGTTTTTATTTCTATTTACACTATTTTAAGATCTGTAGAGGCTCAAAGACTGGATTTTCTCAACACCTTGGGGCTCTTTTTAAAACATTTCTCTTTTGAGGGCAAAAAGTTGTTCTTAACATTGAAAATTAGTCTATACAAACTTGCTAAGGTGAATTGTTTCCTTTTTTTTTTTTAAAGACTCAGGGAATTTTCAGTCAAATTTGTGTCAGGAGTTGCTGCTGAATGCAATCAACAAGCATCTCACAGCATGTGTGGTCCAGTTTCCCTGCACCTAGACAAAAACAATATATGCAAAAAGAAAATGTGATTTTCATATCTCTAATTGGCCCTAAGTGCCTATACATGCCTTTCACAAACTGGTAGAAAGTAAATGGTATTTGCTTTAAATAATTCCTACTTGAACAAGGTGCTATCTACATTTAAAGCATTGATTATGCAGACAGAACTTTTGTAATAAACAGAGTTAGCTCCTGAATAGATAAGTAGCAGGCTTTTAATCTGGACTTTCTGAGAAAATAAATAAAAGATTAATTTATTGTCTTCTACTAAGCTTATTGGTTCCTATTTTTCAGGATAATAATTTAAAATATGCTGAGCCTTTGGGGGCTTGCTTTTGAGCAGTCATTTACTGACTTGCTAAGTGACAGATATACTGAGTTAGACAGTAGAAAGTCTATGGCAAACAGGAAAGAGGGCAAAATTTGTGGCAAACACTATCTAACAATTCAAGAGCAAAATAGACTAAGCTCATTGCAGCCCAATACTTCATAAGACTAGGATAAATTCAATCAGGGTACTTCTTTTTTTCTGACCTGGAAAAGACAGGATTTTGAATAGCCAAAAAGAGTCAGGACTAGCATCCTATCTGTTCAAATGTAAACTGACTTATACTTGCTTTCTGAATTAACAAACAATATGAACCTGTTAAATCTGCTCATTCCTGTTATTTTCCTTTCTCAAAATTGCTGTTGTTGTCACTTCTAGATTCCTCAGGGGAGAGGAAGAAATGTGTCTGTTTAACCCCAGCAACCTCATTTATTAGGAACTGATTTATTTCTTGTAATTTACTTGTCGTTCTAATTCTTCAGCAACAAAACTAAAGTTTGAGTAGGGCTACAATCAAAGTGAAGAGAAAGAAAGAAGGAAGAAAGGAAGGAAAGAAAGACAGACAGAAAGAAAGAAAGAAAAAGAGAGAAGGAAGGAAAAAGAAAGAAAGAAAGAAAAGAGGAAGAGAAAAGAAGCCGAAATACCTACCCACTACCCATTCTAATGAGCTTAGCTCTATCATTAGAGGTTTTTTTGGGAAAGGATTTGTTGATCAACCAAATATGTGAGAATAAATTTGGATTTCTGATCAACATGTGTGGCACTCCAGAGTAGATAGGAACGCATAAACAGATTATACCACTCACAGAATCAATGTTTGTTTGATCCGTTAGGAGGAGATATCTGGCACAAAGCACTTAACAGCATAACAAGATTAACTATAACAGAATTAAGGAAATGTTTCTTTCTAAATCACCACTTCGTAACTGTGTCTGTTGAGGAATCAGGTTTAATAACATTTTACCAGTTCAGTTTCCTATAGACAGGCTCACACATAACCTTTACAGCATAAAAATTAATTTAAACCAATTGATGACTTTTCAGGATCTGACTTAATGTTATGAAAGTGAATTTACTTCTTTTAAATGAAGTTTAAATAAAGTGAAATTACTTAATTTTAAATGATAACTCATTATATTGAATTAGTACCTGTATATGACACTTAATAGCTGGTGGGATGAGATCCTAGCGTAACTGTGTCGGTTCACTGTGAAATTATCTGCATGCCACCTTCAATTATGGAGGCTTCCAGATGCTTTAAAGGAATGCTGTGAAGCCTAGAGATTACTGTGACAGAAAGATGGAGTAGCTCCTCCTTAAACCTGTTGACCCTCATACAATGACTGTAGGAGTGGAACACTTCTGGACAAAAAATAATTCAAAAGTAAATCACAAGCATATCTCAACATTTTTTTTAACTTTTTTTTTTTTTTATAACTGCATTTGATTTTAATAGCTGACTTTTAAGCATTAAATTTTTTTCCAGCACCAGGAGTTTAGACTGCATTTTCTTATAGGTCTTTCAATATCATTCTGCAAATATAGTACCTACTGAATTCAAGCCTTATGTAATGAAACTGTTGTATTATTACTATAAATAATCAACATTTCTTATGTGCTCCTTAATATTTATCTTTCAATAGAATATATATAGAATGAGTTTGGTTTGAATTAATTTATAATATTGTTTCATATGCTGGACTAAAATATGTCTTCTATTGCTCTTCTATTGATTATGTAAACTGTTTTCTATATATCTAGTTGAAGAAAAAAATAATTAGCTTCATCTGTGAAATCCTGAATTTTCAGCACTACAAGTTACACATCTATATATAATATAAAAAAATCTTACAACATTAATTTGAAACTATCTCATTGCTTATTTTTAAAAGTTGTTGTGAATAATTTGGAAATCTAGTATTAGCTAGACCTGACACTTTTTCTTATTTTCCACTACAACACTGCACTGAGTAACTTTGAACTAGGAATAGGTGGCTATATAATGAAAAAAAAATTACATTTTCTCCTGTTTTTCTTTTCTTCTTTTTTTTTTTTCCTAATATAGACTTCATTATTTTTGCATGCTAAATTTACTTTCTGTTAATGAGCCTTTCGGTTGAAAAGTAGCTATGTCATTTATTGTTGTGGAAATAATCACAATTCTTTACAAATTAAATCAATTAGAATTTTATTTTTCTTTCCCATGGGATGTAAAATGAATGTGAATTTGAGAAAGTAAACTAGAGTAGGCCCTCTTAGAAACAGTGGAAAGATAGGATTGCTTTTTTCGTTTCTCTCCCAGTGCAGTAAGATTTTTGTACTTCTAGGGATGAGAACAGGGAAAGGATGCACTGATTACTTGTATCAGGTTGTAGAAGCCTGTGATGAAGCCTGGTTACATCTTATCAACGTGGAGTTTCTCTTGTGGTTTACAGACTGTCAGGAGCCAGCCACTCCTTGCCACCCCACTGTGACATGGATTCGTGTAGCTCCGAGGAATTCTACCAGGCTGTTCACCATGCAGAGCAAACCTTCAGAAAGATGGAGAGCTACTTGAAGCAACAGCAACTGTGTGACGTTATCCTGATTGCTGGGGACCGCAAGATACCTGCGCATAGGTAGGTAATAAGCATAAAATATGGAAGTTACAAAAGTAAATGTTTTGGGTATGTGTATTTATTAGAACAGTGTTTTCTGTTACCCCTCATACCTGCTTCTGTCTTGCTTTAGACATAGCTATAAGGGCTGCAAAAGGTGTATTTGAAGGTTGGGGTTTTGAAGGTGAGGGTTTTTTGTACGTATTCCAAACGTTCAAGTAGCACTCAACTAGCAGACTGATTGTGAGTGTGACAGACAATTCTCTCTACTGTGATTCTGTTCATATGTGAGGAGAATGGAAATTTCTGAAATGAAATGCTGTATAGGTACACTGAACACTGTGTAATTTCTAGTTTAAGATCCTGATACTCTGATAAGTCTGTTGTACAGAGTTTCTCAGACACTTATAGAGGAATACTGAAGGCTTTCTCCTATGATCTGTACTTTTCAATGAACGTTTGGAATATGTACAAAACGTATTTACTTTTAATGATAATTATTGATATAAAAATATAATAACATTATCATTTATAAAATTCTATACGATTATCTGGTATTAAAACAAACCAGTATATATGAAACTATGCTTGGTTTTAGATAAAAATTAGAGTTTAAAATGGTTACTCTTCACTGAGATTTTGGTCTTAGCAATAGGTTTTGATTTAACAAATGCAAATAAAAATCAAATCCTAGAGTTTAGATTAAAATACAGAGAATAATTCAGAATTTTCAGGTGAACAAGTAGTTTTGCATCTGAACTGTGCATAAAGTTGCAAACCAAGGGTGATCTATTTCCTACTTGTGTCCTGATTTCTCTGCTGAGTTACCAGATTCAGAGCAGGACTATGGTTTCCCAGCAGAAAATCAGAAAAACAGCCAATGGATTCCTGAACTTATAAATTAATTTTGTGGTGTAGAGGGATACTATGAGATCATCTTGGCAACTTGGACCTTACGAAGTTGCTTTTACCCTAAGTGAATAAAGACACGGAGACTATTCCTGTTTAACAAAAAACGTTGGATATTTTATGTTGCCATAACAGTAAGTAAAAAAAAAAAAAGGTGCAATATGCAAGACTGGAAAGCCAAAGTTATTGTCCAAATGGTAAAAAGTAAAGCAAGACAGAAACCATTAAAATATTCAAATTACCCCAATAATTGTAATAAATGGAAGCATAACTCCACTTAACAAGCAGTAACAGATTGATCTAGGTAGTTTGCAGCACACATGGAATGGAGTCCCCCTCAGATTAGTAGCTGTAATAGATATAGAAATATTTCTCTTCTTCTTTCAGCAATTTTCATTCTTAAGACTTTGTTTCTAGTCTTCTATCTTCTAAGAGCTGCCATTTCTCCTGTTCCTCCCTTACCTGCGTGTATTCAGATTTCCGTTAGGTCCTTAATAATTTCTACCCAGCGACCTGGCACCTGATCCAGCTTCTGTGTTCCAGGCCTTTTGCCACTGTTAAATGTATTATGCATCTAGCACCTTATGCACCCCTGGTAGCTGTGGTCTGGTACTATTTTCATCTAAATCGCCAAGATCTTTCCTTTATGGGTATATCAAGTACAGATGTAATAACATTAGACTTTAGTCCTTCTATCCATCTGCATTTATATTGTTCCTACAAGAGCTACAAGATTTGCCTTAAGGTGCCTACCATCACAAAGAAAACTGTAGGAATAATAGCCTAAGGCCTTCTAATTTGTGTCCAGTTTTACATTCCTGTATATTACTGAAATAAATCTTTTTTTTTTCCAGAAATAATGGGAGTTTTATTGTTCCTTCTTAGCAGTTACCAGTCCAGTTTTTGCTTTTCACATTTTTCAACACATATAAGGTGAAAAAGTAGAGCAAAATAAATGACTGAATCTACATTCTTAAAATGACACAAAAATACTTATTAGATACATATAAACATTCCATAATTGGTATCATTCACCCTATTGAATATGGACGGTACAAAATATACATTTTTTACCAGTATACTTTTTGCCCATTTTAGTTATTTTGGTAACCTGCATAGTTTGTAGAGTAGGAAACAGAGGAAAATGTAAGTTGTTTGGTTTTTTTTAGTTAGTTTAGTTCAGTTACCCCACTATTTTTAATACAGATGTTCATATTTGTATGCCCACCTTTCAGCAGTAATTTAATTTCACATTTGTCATTTCAATTCTACAGTATATGTAAATCAGTCTTGAGCTGGAAAAATACCCTAATAACAAGACTGAACATGAAATAATAGCCAGAGTCTTATTTAGATTTTCTAATAAACCTTCAGAGACCTTTACATTTATTTTTCTGCTTCTCAGTGGTCTGCAGCTGAAAGTCCAAATCTCAAAGAACTGGAAAAGTCAACTGTTAAATTTTGTAGAGCTGATAAGGCAAGATAAAATGAGATGAAGGGTATTCTGAATTTTCTTTCCGTTTTTATTTTTAACAGTGTTTATTCTATGTTGTTTTAGACACATGGCTGGACAAGCACAGGGAACTGCTTATTTTTACTGTGGCTGTTAAAAAGCTAGAAATTACAGATTCAACTTTCCCTGCTCAAAGCAGGATCAACTACAAGGTTAGATTAGACCATTGAGGTCATACCTGGTTAGTTTTTAATATCATCACTTGCAGAGGTTACTCTCTTCTTAGCTTGTTCCAGTTTTTTATTATTCTCACTGTTTTTAGTGATCCAGCACGTGGTGTCTAGGCAAATTTACTCCATGATCTCGGTGAGGCAAACCAGTCTATAGGTGTCTACATCTTTCTTCTTGAGGATGGACATGGAAATTGACTTTTCCAGTCAATCTCAAACCTACAATTATCTGATCCATTAAAGATAAGAGAGAGTGGCCTTTCAGTGACATTGTAGATCTTCCTCTAGCATTGTGCCTTCAACTTATCCTCTCTGCTCCGAGGACTTATATATGTCCAATTCATTTAACTGCAGCCTAAGGACATCTTCCTGTGTTGTGAGTTACACCCTCCACAGAACCTGCCACTGGGAGATTTTTTCGTTTTCCTTTTTCACCTACTCTCTTTTTGCATTTGACTTTCATCAGGAGTCACTTCAGAAGTCCAGGCTTGTAATTTGCTCTTCATTTTACAAACTTTTCTTAGGATCCATTGTCTAAAATTTCATTGTCTCATGGTCACTGCAGCCAAGTTTGCCAACATATTTCACAGGTGCTTTCTTTTGTCTCTCCAGATCTGTCAGGAGCAGATCCAGTAAAGTACCTCCTCTAATTAAAGAGATCCAGTAAAGTACCCCCTCTAATTAAAGATTTTGCGATTTAGGCTAGATAATACATACTTTGCATTCCTTAGAACATATAAAAAACCTGCTTGCAGAGGACAATGCAAAACCAGTATTTGTGGAGTTTTTAACTGTGATACTTATCATAAAATCATTGAATTAACCGGGTTGGAAAAGACCTCTGAGATCATCAAATCCAACCCTTGATCCAACACTGCCGTGGTTACTAGACCATGGCACTAAGTGCCACATCCAGTCTCCTCTTAAAAACCTCCAGGGACGGAGAATCCACCACTTCCCTGGACAGCCCATTCCAATGTCTGATTACCCTCTCTGTAAAGAATTTCTTCTTAATATCTAACCTAAACCTCCCCTGGCACAGCTTAAGACCATGCCCTCTTGTTTTACTGACAGCTGCCTGGGAGAAGAGACCAACCCCCACCTGGCTTCAACCTCCTTTCAGGTAATTGTAGAGAGTGATGAGGTCTCCCCTGAGCCTCCTCTTCTCCAGGCTGAACAGCCCCAGCTCCCTCAGCCTCTCCTCATAGGACTTGTTCTTGAGTCTCTTCACCAGCCTTGTTGCTTTTCTCTGGACCTGCTCCAGCACCTCAATATCCTTCCTGAACTGAGGGGCCCAGAACTGGACACAGTACTCCAGGTGTGGCCTCACCAGCGCTGAGTCCAGGGCAAGAATCACTTCCCTGGTCCTGCTGGCCACCCTTTTCCTGATCCAGGCCAGGGTGCCACTGGCCTTCTTGGCCACCTGGGCACACTGCTGGCTCATGTTCAGCTTCCTGTCGATCCAAACTCCCAGGTCCCTTTCTGCCTGGCTGCTCTCCAGCCACTCTGTCCCCAGCCTGTAGCACTGCCTGGGGTTGTTGTGGCCAAAGTGGAGGACCTGGCACTTGGCCTTGTTGAACCTCATCCCATTGGAATCAGACCATCTTTCCAGCTTGTCCAGGTCCCTCTGAAGAGCCCTCCTGCCTTCCAGCAGATACCCCCCCCTAACGTGGTGTCATCTGCAAATTTGCTAATGGTGAATTCAATCCCCTCATCTAGATCATCAGTGAAGATATTAAACAGAACTGGGCCCAACACTGATCCCTGTGGGACACCACTAGTGACTGACCACCAACTGGATTTTTATTTCTCAGAAAATAAATAGGAGAAAGTCAAATTATATATTACAGCTGCGTTTTATTGTTTGGGTGTCTCAAACAGTTTTAATGTGCTTTTTGTTAGCTCCTGAACATTACATTTGTCTAATCTAATATTCCATTAAACAGGTTGCAGATGTAATATTTTGCATGAAGGAATAGAAAAAGGAAGAACAAAAGAACCATGTGTTGTAATAATGAACAAGCAACCAAAAAGGGTACTGAGAAAGTAGGAAGACCTTTTAATAGGTATTTCAGAGGGAAAAGTAGCTGACATTTAAATAAATTTCAAAAATTAAATAAACCTCATCTTTTTTTGTTATATTGCTATAACATGTATAAATAACAATTAAATATAAAAATGTAAATACCTTAAAGGGAGAAAGAATGCTAAAATAGTAATTTTCCTTCATTTAAGCTGTTGTACTATTAGCACTCCATCCTAATATATTAGGATGAACATGAACATGGAGTTTCTAGTTTCTCCACTCATTCTGGAGATACATATATATATATTTTTCTCATTTTCTGTGACTGTCATTTATAATATAATATTTAAATCAATTATTGAAACACTTATATTAAAGCTAGAAAAAATAAATAATTATTAAC